TCTAATTTAATATTTTTTTAAAAAATTGGTGAGACATCCTCTTATAGAGATCAGTGTTGCTTGCTCCAAATTAGTCATTCCGATTCAAGGAGGAAGAAAATTTGTTGACTCACTAAGGTCTATGCCCACAACTATATGCATTGGAAGTATTGGGAGATGTTTCTTTCAGTATTGGGACTTTTTTTTGATAATATAATGATTAACCAACCATTCAAAACTCCAGAAATGTTGCATTAGCTGATGTCACTGTTTTTTCAAAAAAAAAAAGCAAGCAAAAATGTGAAGCTGGCTTAAAGCGGTTGAAGGTTGACTGCTAAAAAAATAATGAAAGTGAAAAATAGATGGCAGCTGATAAATTTAAATCAAAGTGTTATAATACCACTGATCAAAAAAGATGTTGTAGGTGACAATGAACATGTTGCAGAAGTCAAATGAGGAGAGGGAGAGAAAGAGAAATCATTGCATAGTTATTAGTTATGAATTATAATTTATACGAACAGAATTTCTCCTTGTAACTACTATCAAAGACATTTGGTCATAAATATTTCCAGAGAAAATACCTGTTAACCCAAGTCAATTAATAATACAGTGAAATCCAGCAGTTCTGCTAGCGAGGTCTTCCTCTCTAGCTAGTCAATTATTACCTTCATTTCAAACGAGAAGCTTCCTTTATATGCAACAGCCCTACATTTTTATGAGGGAGATCAAATACTCCATGGCTCAGGTTTCTTCTTTTTTCTTTTTTAAGAGAGTTTTTTTCCCCCAAAAAAGCTGATAGTAGATCTTCTTTAACTTTACAGGATATTATTCTCCTTTAAGGTGCTTGCCCAGTATCACCGAAAGGATTTATTTGGAAGTTTCGCAGATCTATCTATTGGATTCTTTAGAGAACAATCTTCGTATGAAAATGCGGACATCAAGCAGAATGGACAATGCAAAGAAGTGGCTCGGACTCAGTTTTTGCTTTATGATGAACCTCATTACAACTGTATTATCTGGAACTAGCAGACCTCCAAGCAAAGGCCAAGGACAAAATCTCTCGGACAACTTGCTTCTTCATCAACGGATGAAGAGGAGTTGGGTGTGGAACCAGTTCTTCGTTCTGGAAGAATACACGGGAACAGATCCTCTGTACGTTGGGAAGGTAAGAAGCTGTATGTGGGATGGGGAATCAGAGATCTTTGGTCACGAGATGGTTTAATGGTTTAAAGAATATTAGAGTGTTTGTTGGGAATTTCACAAAAGAGATTTTTTTTTTCCTAGTTGAGAGAGATGGGAGAATAGAGGATTTCTGTTCTGTTCTATATATATATTTGTGGACATCTTGATTTATATCTGAGAGCTTCCTGTTCGTGTCACCCTGAACTGAGAGTAATGGCTGTGTTGAAAGACTGTCAATGGTTTGCCTTTCTCCTAAAGATCAGCACTGACAATTACCAGCTGTAATTGACATCTTCCTAACAAAATCTCTGTCAGCCTTTATTTGAACTGCTTCCGTGTCCATGCACTGACTGGTGCAGATTGATAAAGAGAAAGTGGGGACAAGAGAGATTGTGGAGTCTTATTTTGGCTTCCTTCTGAAGGTCTTTGAACAAGAACTATTTCTGTATTCAGAACTTATTTCCCAATCATTCCCCCAGTATCTGTAGCCAAGGCTGAAGTGAAACCAAAATCATAGTGTCCTGCTGTTGAAAGCAGGAATTAATTTTTTCCTCTTACCTATTTGTTGATTTATACAATCCCCTGTTCCTAAACAATGGCAAACAGCAAATTGAAACAAATTTGGGATATTGGAACACAAATAGATGATCCCAGAGAGTAAAAGAAGAGGAAATTATGTAACTCACCCAGGATTTTAAGCTAGTTTTTATTTACAATATTGTTGCTGAATAGGAATGGGTGATCCAACCAGATTATTAATTTTTACAAAACAAGTTCTCTATTTTGAGAATCAGCACTGGCATAATGTATCAAGAGTAAAAGATCTTATACCCAATTTTCTTTCAGTATCAGGGTTAGGCTAAATTCATGACATTCCCATTTTTCCATATCAATTATACTGTTTAGGTTCTACATCTATTTAATCATCTACTCTTTAATTTATTTAATTTCTGTGTAATATTTCAGCATCAGCTTGTAAACAAGCTCTGCAAAGTTTTCAGAGTTCTGTGATACAAGTCATATTCAGTCTGAGTATTTCTATCCTGTTTTTGCAATTCCCTTTGAACTATACTGGTTATTTGAAGATGATTTTGACTATTGTGAAGAGAGAGTCTTAAAGGATTTCATCTTTGTCTTATTAAGAATTGGGAATTCATAATTCTGTATGAATTATTCTCTCTCCACTGATTACATTTTTGTACATTCACCTTCATTAAAGAAATATTTAACACTGAGGCAAGGCCAATGAATCTGGGCTCTCTCTTTTTTCTGTATTTATTCCATAGTTTTAACCTGCTGCTTTTGACTGAATAATGTATTATAGTTTTTGCATTTCTGTTTCTATAAACTAAAGCTATTTATGCAAGCTGTCTGGAAGTCCTCTCAGTAGAAGTAATCCAGACATAAGGTTATAAAATCCAGTCTGTGGGGTAAGTTAGAACTTGGCTTGGTAGTTTTGTACGAGATTTCGTACCACAAATAGAAAATTAAAACTTGGTAAATATCCATTTTTGCTGCTGCTGTTCTTCCAGGTCAATGCTAATATATGTTAACTAAATTTAACAAAATTTTAATTATATTTTTCTAAGTCTGGAAGTCATTTTTCTTTTAGAAATATTCATTGTTTTTATTAAGTGAGTTCCCAAGTACTTAATTGCTTTAACAGTAATACATTTGCTGTTTCTTCTTTTGGGAAACTTCATTTCAGTGTTGTTCTTATTAATTAATTCAATATCCTTATACCAAACCATATTACTTATTAATTCTAAAGAATCCCTTGGATGAATAATTGTAAGTACTTGGGAA